GTGGGGGCACGGTAAGCTGTGATGCAGCAAAGTATTTTAATACGGCACAAAGGATAAGGCAATATATTGTTGTTTGTTTTAAGTGGGAGTGGGGCTGGGGGAGGACAGAGAAAGAGCTACTTGAAAAGAAATCCCACGCATCTTTCAACTCCCTGAAAACAGGACCATCTCTGCAGTCACCGCTGTAACTCAATGACTAGAGAAGAATGCGAGAACAAGAACAGGCCATTCAGCCCATCCCACTGCCTGCTGCCAACTCCTGCTCACGACCTAATCTGGAGTGTGCTTTAAAGGGCATTTTCCTTAATTGTCCCCATTGTACCCAGGCTTTTTTGGGGGGTGGGAGACCAGGCAGGGAAAGAAGAGGGGAGGCGGGGGAAAGAAGAAAAAAAATAAAGGCAGGTTCCTGCTCTGAATTAATATCCAGTGTTCTTTCTCAGAAAGAGCTTGTGTAGACATTGTGGGTGGTTAAGATTGTGTTTAGCTGCGATAGACCCTTCTTTGGTCCCTGGTCAAACAATCTTTTGATGCTCACTGTCCAAGCTCTCACTCTCTCTCGCTCACACTCTCTCTCACACACTCTCTCTCTCACACACACTCTCTCTCTCACACAGTCTCACACACACACACACCTTCACACACTATCACACACACTGTCTCACACATACACACACACAGTGTCTCACACACACACTGTTGCACACTGTCACACACACTGTCTCACATTGCCTCACGCATACATACTGTCACACACACAGTCACACACTGTCTCACACTCACACAATCTCACACGCAGTCTCACACACACACACACACACACAGAAGCCTTGAGGAAGGCGTACCTGAAGGCTGCTGCGCCCCATCAAACCACATCAGAACATGAGCCACTGCTCTTTTGAAGAGAGAAAAAGATAAGTGGAGAATATTTTTTGACTCAAACTCACAGAACTTTCACTATAGGTGACTGACTCAGTGTTGTCAGTACTTACCACAGGTGGCAATCTATTCCAAAGCAAGCATGCACAAATAGTACATTTCTCAGATTGAAACCTTTGTCAATTGGAGTCATTAATTCAGATCCAGCTTTCAGGGCTCTGGGACATCCTCCCAAAGTGAAAGGCGCTCTATAAATGTAATCTTGTTGCTGTTGTCCTGTGATTTAAGTATACATTAAGGGATGCCTTTGGCGCTATTTCAAAGAAAAGTGGGGAATTTCCCTCGTTATCCTGTCTTATATTCACATTCTGTCCAAATTTTTTCTCAAAAACTATAGCTGACTGGCCACTCATCTCGTTACTTGTCACTGGGTGGTCATTGACAAAAACTCGTCGCTACGTTTGCGTACAGAACGTTCACTTCAGGTATAAGTTCTTCACAGGGCTTTGAGAAGTGAGGAAGATACTGACCATCTGGTCAGTATCTTCCTCACTACACTTTACACCAGCAAACCTAAGACCACTTGATGCCCAGCATGACCCACTTGACTTAGTGACAAATAGGAAGCAGGAGGAAAGGATTTGAGGTTAAGGTTACCTGAACATCTGCTACCTGAATTAGCTGCAACCCTGCTTGGGTAGGAGCAACAGTTTCGCGCACAAAATATACAGCCAATTCACTTTACAGTATATTCTGTGAAGCACTTTGAGACTCTCGAAGATGTGATTAAGGCGCTATATCAAATGCAAGGATTATTATTATCATTACTTATGAGACACAAGGCAGAAAACCTTAAGATAGACAAACATGGCTCACACAAAAAACATTAGCCTGTGGAAACAAAACTCTTAAATGCACAAAATGAAAATGACCCATTACGGGAATGGCTGGGACATTCTACCCATAATTTCTGTGCTGGAACTATTGAGGGTGACCATAAATATACACTCTGATTGTAAATAGTGATCTGGTTACGGATGGGGAGGAGAGGGAAGGCACGGAGAAAACAGACACATTTCTAAAAGAACGAACACTGAGCTGAGGATATTTTTGCAGGTTACTCTTCTTGTGGAACAACCCAAGAGTGGATGGTAAAGTCCCTTTGAAACTGACGGATACTCTCGAAATTCTCAGCGGTTCAACAATAAATTGTGTCAGAGTTGCAGTGCAATGCTGGTTGAAAATACTTTAAAAGATAAATAATCCTTGCACTTGATTTAGTGCCTTGTACTTTGGAAGAATGTCTCAACAGGAATTTTAGTGTAAAGTGGGCTGTGTATTTTGTAAGCAATAGAAAATCCAATCTCTTGTGCTACAATGCAGAATGACTATAGGATTTGTGGAGAAGAGTTATTCTACAGACATGTTCATTACTTTAACTGTCAAAGGGACCTGTATGCTCCATTTTAAAAAGCTGGCATGACTAAAAATAAATGCAAAACCCAAAGGACCACATTGGCATGTCAGAGTTTAAGAGAGATAAGGTTACTTCCCCACATCCTTACCTAACCTAATTCTGTTTGTTCAGTGATGGGAATGGAATTAAGCGAGCACGGTAATTTCTTTCTACACTGCAACAAGCACTTACTTTACATACATTACTGAGAAACCAAAGCGAAGGGCCAGACCCCGAGCACTAACTTGGTTGAAAAGAATTGCAGAAAAAGTGAGATAAGTCAAGAGGAAGTAAATAACTATTGCTGAGCTTGCATTTTCATAGACTGTAAATTGTAGAAGACTGAAGAAGACAAAAGATTCCACAGTTGGTCATTTTCTCCTGGAAAGAATAATCCTTGCAATTGATGCATCTCTTTATGTTGTTGAAATGTCTCAAAGCACATAACAGGATTCAATGTAAAGTGTAGTACAGTGACTGCACTTATAGGCTATTGTAGCAGCCAATTTGGGCCATAGTATGTCCCACAAATAGCAATGAGGTGAATGACCAATTTTATCTGGGGATTGTTGACCAAGGCACCAGGAGAAACTCCATTCTCTGTATGAATAGTGCCACTCCATCTTTAACGTCCACCTGAATTGGTAGATGGGATCTCAGTTGAACGTCTCATTAGAAGGACAACACCTCCATCATGTAGCACATCCCTAGCACTGCATTGGAGTGCCAGAATGTTCAATTTCCCGATGTGGGGCTTGAACCCACAACTTTCTGTCTCAGAGACAAGTACTATCTACTGTGCCAGGCTGACACCAGTTGACAACGGCTGTGGTGGAACAGTGTTCAAATCTTGGGAAAGAGTTCAGAGTTGATGAACCTCAATTAAAGCAGAGTAAGGAAGGAGAACATGCAGCATTTGCCCCCTGATGGGAGGAAAGTCTAGAAAAAGTTGTTATACAGTGCAGCCCCTTTATAACCCAGTTCACGTGCAGTTGGCCAACTCGCTTCTCAAGTGCCATCCAGCTTCCCATGCAATAGCTGACTTCTGGTTCATTAGGACCTTAATGTCATTTCCTTTTTGCTGTGTATGTGTTGACAGCGACCCTAATGAATTGAAAGTTGGTCATTTTAGCTCCCCAATGCTAAAAGAAAATCCATGTCATCAGGTCACTGCGTGATGAGCTGGCTTTATGCAGGAAACAAGAAGTGACGTTGGAGAAAATAATAATCCTCGCAGTTGATATACCTCTTGATGTTGTCAGAATGTCTCAAAGCGCAATGCGGGAAATAGTCGGGACGCAGGCTCCGTCAACCCCGCTATTTCATCTCACCAGTATGCGGATTAGGATTTTATGGATCCCAAACACCGTATATTCCACATGTGTCTTCTTAAGACAGCACACATACAAGGAGCTCCCCCTGATGGTCAAGTGGGTGAAGGGAACACTGATTTAGCAGTTTCCTGGCAGGAGAGCAGTTGAGGAGTTACTAATCTCAGTGGCAATTGATACAAATTGGTATTAGTAATCTAAATGATTGGCGTTTGCACTTGAGCACTGCCGAAACACAAGCTCACATGTCAAATGAAAAATACTAACAGCTATGAGCAAGTACTGTCTATCTCTCATGTCAGCCTGGCTCAGTTGGCAGCAACCTCACCTCCAAGAGAGCTTGGCGAAAATTAATCGAGACTTCAAAAGTGCCAACGCAGACATGATGGGCCGAATGTCCTTCTTCTGTGCTGTAAATTTCTATGGTTCGATGGAGACTTTGAAGCTTATAGTCTGCGCTGACACTCAAATGTAGCGCTGGAGGGAATGCTGCCATCTGCCTGTCCAGGTGGACATTAAAGACACCATAGCACTATTCGAAAAGAGTTTCTCCCAGTGTCCTGGCCAACAACTCCTGGATTAGAAAATTAGGTCTCACAGCAGTTTGTGGCAAATTGCTGAATGCATAATGACTGCCACATTCACCTACAAATACAGTCACTAAACTTTACAGTAAAAACTCTGAAGCGATAAGGTGCTAAATCAAATGTAAGGATTATATTTGTTGTCTGTGAATGACTAAATTTGAGTTTACCGACCAGAGGTGGGTCAAGAGAGGCTGGGGATAAAAATACACAAACAAAAGCTTGCATTTCAATTTTCTCTTTGCTTCACTGAACAAGCCCTGAAAAGGCAGGAGATGCAATGCACATAAAGGTCATTAAAAAAATATTTTAGTTCACATAATTGAAACAGTATTTGGGTGGGGTTTCATTCAAGAAAAAAAAAGATCAAATTCCAGGGAGTGGAATTTAACATAAAAAGAGTAAATTCGGTATTTGATTTGGAACATCAACTTTACCTCTCGCATTGGGAAACCAGTCTGGCTGCAATGCCATTTGCAGAAATAAGCAGGCGAGACAGTTCCAATAGTGAACCAGCTTGCCTGCAATGTCGGTCCCGCCAATCCACTGAAAAGCATAACACTGAAACCCGGTCGCGTTTCCGGCTGCACGTGCACACCGAGGGGTGGGGGATCTTTTTTTTAATTAAAAAGTTAACTATTGCCTTTCACCAAGAAAGTGATAGCAGTCAAAATCAGCTAAATAAAAACCCCAACTGTAATGGTCCTTCACCACACTATGACATCTAGGTAACTGCAAGGTAAGATTGCTTACCAGATGCCTAGGATTACAGCGAGCTCCTCTGCACACAGGTCCGGCAACCTGTGCTCTTCAGGATAAGCCAGTTTAATTGTATTCAGCACAGCATCATCATTCAGCTCATGGATCTGTCAGTGAACAAGAGGTAAATTCAAAACAGCTTCAACACATTTGTAATAGCCTTCTGACAGCAGTCATGTTTGCGGTACTTACGAATAACTCAAACCAAATTTCTTGTTGCAATCTGCAACGCATTGATTTGATAAAACTTGCATTGCGAATGGACAGTCTACGCTAACCTTTTACGTCCATCAGCCAGTTGCAATTGAAGTTGCACCACCACTCTGCCAAGGACCTTGGGTACAACCTTTATTAGCACAAAGCTCAACAAAGCTGAGAACAAGATCTGTGAGCAGGGTGTGTGCACACGCACACAGATCCCTGTCAGTTTCTAAGGAAAACATAACACTGATAATTGACACAAGATCATAAACAGAGGTTCATGAAGAAAGATTTTCGGCCCATTTCAAACCCACTGCTCTCAGAATTGTGATCCTTCGTTGAGGTCCTTCGTTGGTTTCTCTCGTGTGAGATGGTAGAATGGGCAGGATTTCTGACCTGATCTGCGGTGACTTCTTTTGTTTTGTTCAGCAACGGAAACAGATATGGCTCCTCCCAGAACTGACTGTTTGGATACCTTCAGGTTAGGGGCACCCTATAAGCAGCTTTCAGCAAACTTTCCTTACCCTCATTTCCTTCTGTCCAAGCTTGTTTGGTTCCTTCAAGATTAAAGTAGTAATAACAATACTAATACTAGCACTCAGTCACTGCACTTTACAGTAAATTTTGTAAGCCCTTCAAGACATTTCCCAACATGAAATCTATATAAAATGTAAGGCGCTATATCAAATGTAAGGATTATTATTACTAATAGTAAACCCTTCACTTGAGCTTTTCATGGCTGAAGACTGTACCTGGTTGGGCATGTGAGACATCACTCGCTCTCACAACCTGGTATTTGACCTCCCCCTAATGTAGTGAAAGGGAAGTGGGGAGGAATGTGTCTCTTGTTCTGAGAGTGTGGCCTTATCTTCCCATGCCTTCACCTGCAGCTTAATTTCTTAAACAAGGAAGTAACCTGGACCTGCTGATGCTCTCTACTTAATAATAATACTTGTATTTGATATAGCGCCTTGTCATGTCTTCTAGACGTCTCAAAGAGCTTCACAAAATATACTATAAAGTGAATTGACTGTATGTTTTGTGGGCGAAACACAGCAGACAATTGCGCACCGCAATGTCCTACATATAGACCAATTTTGTTAACCAGAACACAGGGAGAAACTCCCTTCTCTATTCGAATAGTGCCTTAGGATCTTTAACATCCACCTGAACAAACAAAAAGGACTGTGGTTTAACGTCTCACCAGAAGGATAGAAAATTGCAACAGAACACCTCTTCCCAAGCACCATAGCCACAACGACACCAACTTCAAGAGTTGGTACATTTGTGGTAAATAAGCAATTCAAGGCCCTGAATGAATTTGTGAATCCAGTTTCTCCAGTGTGTTACCTGTGGTAAATATTCCAAGGGTGTGGGAGTCAGCATGAAATCCTCTTGAAGAGCAGCATCACCTTCCCTTTGGACATCCAGGATAAGCTGAGCCAAATAGTTTTCCTGGAAACGTGTCCGTTTCCCCAAAGCACCTGAAAGAAAAATTAGCCTGATTTGGGTGTTTTCCTGCACGAGTTGCCATGACTTGAAAGGTTGTGGGGGGAAATCAATGCTACTCACTGACCATTATAATTTAAGGTAAACTGTAAGAAATGCGAAAAATGTTTCACTGGACATTTTTCACAAACAATTCTGATACAGAACGCAGCCTCTAGCAAATTCCCACTTAGCTCCTGTTAACCCTGCAAAGCAAAGCTCTAATGGATAGGGCGGTCCTCACTGGACAAGCAGTGGGAAGCCTGCCAGTTATGTGGTTTTACGTGATTAAACGCTATCAGTACACCGCATTCACTCAGGGATGTCCAAGCCCTTTTTTGGCCAATCTGCTCTTACTCCTCTCCAGCAACAGGTAAGCAGGGCGAGTCCCTCTGGGGAAGAGTGCTTATTCCATATGCAGGGAAATTTCTTCACCTTACCACACCTTCGTTAACTCCCACCTAGACTTTTCAGATGATCACAAAGCCCACAGTCAATTTACAGTATATCCTGGGAAGTGCTTTGGGACGTCTGCCCGACGTGAAAGATGCTATGACAAATGTAAGGATTATTATTATAAATTTCCGTGTGTAAGCAACACACATATGCAGGATTCTCAGGCTAGTTGGGATAATCTTGAACATAGTGATGGGTTCTCACATGTGTCAGATACCCACTGACCAAAGAAAAACCCTCAAAGAATGTTTCACAAATTTAAAAAGGTTCATAATGTTTGTCAAGATTTTTTTTTCTGATTACCAGTGAATCAATCTGCAGAGAGCCAGTAGATCCTGGGGAGGACTGGGGGGATGGGCGGGTAGTTTGGTGTGGGTGAAGGAGCAGGGACAGCTTTGGATCAGCTGGAGCTTGTGGATGTAACTAGGCAGTTCAGCTAGGTCTGAAAAGTCTGGGTGAGCAGTAAGACACACACACACACGGAACCGGACACGTGCACGCACAGAAACCCATCACCGCGATCAGCCGGGTGTCTGACACACACACACAAGGAAACCTGTCACTGTGATCAGTCAGATGCCCGATACACACACGCGGAAACCCGCCACCATGATCAGCCGGGTGTCTGACACACACACAAACGTCATCATGATCAGCCGGGTGTCTGACACACACACAAACCTGTCATCATGATCAGCTGGGTATCTGACACACACACGCGGGCAAATCCGTCACCGTCATCAGCCGGGTGTCTGACACACACACACACACACGCGCGCAGAAACCCATCACCATGATCTAATGGGTAGGGTGATCCTAACTGGACAAGCAGCTGGAAATCTGGCCAGAGAGTGCTCTCAATGTGGCTTTAGCTTGTCAGATTCCAGCAATTACCTCAAAGCACACTCTGTGCTCTCCCCAAGCCTTGGCTCTCGCCAACCTATGCCCAACACACAAAATACACAGTTACTACACTTTACACTTGCTAGTCGATTGGCGGATCACTCTTCCGGAGGTAATAATCCCTTAAAAAAAAATTTGGTCACTCAATCTACGACTGTGTGTGGAACACTGCTGTGCGCAATTATCTGCCGTATTTCGCCCACAAAATACAGTTACTGCACTTTACAGTATATTCTGTGAAGCTCTTTGAGACATCTCAAATGCGTGATAAGATGCTATATCAAATGAAAGGATTGTTATTATTATTAGCAAACAGAACATATTCACAGATGTCCTGGGTGTGCAAATCCTAACACTGAATTGCCAAAACATCAGATTATTAATACCTTGTCACACATTCTAAAAGTCTTCATTAAATTCTAAAGGTTTAATGCAGGAAATGCCCTTCATATTCTCTGACAGCTACAAAAAGCAAAAGGCTGGAAGAGGTTTAAAAAAAAGACAACATCTTATATGAGTGACAGGAACATAGAAAAACAAGAATAAGGAAGGCCATTCAGCCTAATAAATCAGTTCCACCCATTTATTAGATGTTGGTAGACCTACTTCCCAAGTATTTATTTCTTTTAAACATGCCCACTGATTCTCCTCTACTTCTTGGGTCAGTGTATTCCACACCTCAATAACTCCTTTGTGTAAAGAAATGCTTCCTAGATTCAGTTTAATAGTCTTTGTTCGGATTTTAAACCTATGCACCCCGCCGCCCCCCCACCCATCCAGAATGAGTCCCTCAATGCAAGGCAAACCATCAAACAATGCAAGGCAATGCAATAATCTCAAAAATTTTTGGTCTATCAGAGTACTTTGGAGGAAATTCTCTGTAATTACAAGCTGCCTGCAGTTGTTCTGTAGTCATCAATTCTCACAAGGAATTGGAGTCCACACTCCAGGACTAAAAAACAAACTTTGTCTTTGTGGGTTTCCCGGCTGCTTAATCTGGAGACTTTTGAGCAATGGCAAAGATTTTCTGCACGTCAGACACCTGGCTGACGGAAAGAGGAAAAAACCCTACTCTGCTGGATTAAGTATGCGCCAGACTACTTTAATCCACTTTCACCAGAGCCAATATGACCTGGAATGAGCTGCAAAATGCATTTTATAAGTGCAACGCTCACCTCCTCAAAGATTACAGTGGTGCCACATCAGGCTTTGTGGCTCCAGCCACACAATGAAATGCTGAGTACTAACACTGATCAGCAGGAAGGTGAAAAGATTTTACCCTTGAGAAAAAAAATGAACAAGTCAGCGAACTGAAATTCAGGTTGCAATTTTCCACGATTTATAACTGCATTGCCAAGGGGACTACATTTACCTCTGACCAGAATTTCACAGTCCACATGTGCATGTGTCAAGCACTCTCGCCTTGAGTTCATGTCCCAAGTAGGGACATGAATTCATAGTCTAAATTGACGCTAATGCAGTGCTGGGGAATGCCGCACTGTTGGAGGTGACGTTCTTCGGATGAGAAGTTAAACCGAGATATTGTCTGCCTGTTCACATGGATGTTAAAGATCCCATGCCACTATTCAAAAAGAGTAGGGAATTTCTGCCAGTGCCTTGGTCAACAATCCCCCAAATAAAATTGGTCATTCACTCCATGGCTGTTTGTGGGACACTGGTAGGCGCAAATTTGCTTCCACATTCACCCACAAACACAGTCACTACACTTCACAGTAAATCCCTTGAGGTGCTTTGGGACATCCTCCCAACATGAAAAATGCTACACCAAATCCAAGGATTATTACTTATTATGACTATTCTTCTCTGGTTTTAAGGTTGTTCTGTTTTGAACTTGCGGTTTCCATAAGCCACCACAAGATGCTGCTGTTCTATGTTCTTTGATACTGTCCTGGTTAACCACTGGTCCTGCTTATCTCACCTTACTCTCCGAACGCAGCCAAGTAATCCCATTAATTGTTTATATCTGATGAGGGAGTATCAAAAGAAAAGGCCAGCAATAGACAAAGAAAGGGGTGAAAACAAAAGAGCAGACAAAATCATTGCATGAGATATCGGTTAAAAAACATTGGCTTGTAGTAGTAATCACAAATGTATTGGCATCGTAATCTGTAACTGCAGCTCTGTTTGAAAACTGAAAACATTGCATTCAGCAAGTCAGCTTTTATCCACGAGAGGGCTCTAAAATTCTCCCAGATACTCGAAGATTACTTTTACTATAAGCATGGGGATTGAACCTGCAAACATCTGGCCCAGACAAGAGCACTACCAGCTAAGCCAGGCTGATATAGAGGCGAGACTGCTACCAGCAGAGCCAGGCCATTTAGATCCTGTGCCAATTTAATAAATAAGTTTGAGTCTGACCTACCTGTCATGGTTGTGCGAAGTTTGGCCGTACTCTGCGCTGTACTGAAATGCTCCTTGGCCTTTACATACTCATAGTAATACAGAAAGCTGTAGCCACACTCCAGATGGAACTGGATTGCTAAACGCTGGCAATCCTCTGAGCTAAACAAGCTCTCGTTTCCCAACACTGAAAATTAATTAAATGAAAACGTTAAGGGTTTTCTGCTGCAGAAACATACACGAGTAAATGTGTACAGATACATAGGAAGGAGATGTTTCAATTACTCTTCAAGTCAGGTACAAACAGAGGAGTATTGGAGGACTGGTTGCAAAACACCAACAAGATTACATTGGAGTAGAATGTAGAAAACAGCTGCCATACAATTACTGTGCAAAGGACATCGCAAAAAGAAGCTACAATTGATAACGTTACTTGCAACTGAACAAACAGCATAATACAGTTTGCAAAGAAAAAGCTAGGAACCAGTACTTTAAAGGTTAATGCCCTTTAAGGAAACAACAACAAAAATACATTTGTAAAGCACCTTTCACATCGGGAGGACGTCCCAAGGCGCTGGACAAACAGAGTTTCGGACGCAAGCTGGGGGTTGGGATCGGGGAGGATGGAGGGCAGGGGGGGAAGGAGGGAAATCAAAAGTACGGTCGAAGAGGAGGTCTTGAGATGGGTCTTGAAAGAGGCAAGGGAGGGGGTGAGGCAGAGGGACTGCGGGATAGAGTTCCAGAGGGTGGGGCAGAGTGGCTGAAGGCCTTCCCGCCAATAGTGGGGCGAGCGAGGCGGGGAACATAATAATAATAATAATAATCCTTGCATTTGATATAGCGCTTTTCACGTCGGGAGGACGTCCCAAAGCGCTTCACAGAACACACTGTAAAGTGAATTGACTGTATATTTGTGGGCGAACGCGGCAGCCAATTGCGCACAGCAATGTCCCACAAACAGTCGTAGATTGAAAATGACCCAATTTTTTTTTTATTATTGTTTTTTGGTTTTTTTGGAGGGATTATTATTATCTTGTTGATACTCGTCAACAAGGTGATGTCTCACCACTGTAATCATAGACAGACTGCAGACATGGTCTGCAAGCCAGAGGCCCCTGAGCGGAGGGAGCGAAAAGGGTGGTAGGGGGTTAGGAGGTTGCAGAGGTAGAGGGGAGCAAGACCATGGAGGGCTCTAAAGGTGAGGACCAGGATCTGTGTGATGGGAAACCAGTGGAGTCTGGCAAGGATGGGGGTGATAGGTTCACGGAGCCTGGTGCGGGAGAGGACACGAGCTGCATTCAGGATGATCTGCAGCCTTTGGAGGGAGGGAGTTGAGGAGGCCGACAAGCAGCAAGTTTGCAGTCAAGCCTGGATGTAATGAAAGCGCGTATGAGGGTTTCGGCGGCCTGCGGTGTGAGACAGTGGCGGAGCCGGGCGATGTTGCGGAGGTGGGGGAAGGTAGTGCGAGTCATGGCACAGATGACAATGCATCTGGCCATTGCTGTACCTGACCTGGGGAGTGTTTTGATTGTGGATCTCCCCAGAAGAACACCGAAACTACTACAATCTTTCTCACAACTGCAGTTGATATTCTGTGCAACATTTAAAGCAATCATTCATTCAGATTCAGATTCTGATGTGAAATGGACACAAAGCATCAGCTATGTCATTCACAGCAATAACAACTTGGGACTCTAATGTAGGAAAACACCGCAAAATGCTCCCAGAGAGTCAGAGTTAGGAGCCCAGGCAGAGAGGGGGAATAATGAAAGAGTAGGCTAAAGGCATGATTTAAAAGCAGGGAGGGAGCAGTGAACTCAATGGTGAATGAATCTTCTCAATAAAATAAAACTCTTGTCCGTGTTCTGCAGTGCCAGCCAGCATTCTAACCTTTTGAATTTCATTTATGATTTTTTGGGATACAGCATCTTTCACTTCAGCAGGACATGTTGAAGCGCTTCACAGCATCAACTGTAAAGTATACTGAAGTAGGCAAATGCGGCAGGTAATTTACACACAGCCATATCCCACAAATACCATGAAGTAAACGAACATTTTTTTTACCTGAGGGATTGTTGGCCAGGACACAGGGAGAAATTTCTTTCACTTTCCAAATAGGATATTTTACGTCCACTGAACAGGCAAATTGGTTAACATCTCATCAAAAAGACAGAAAAATCTGTTTGGAATCAGCTGAGTAACACACTATTTGTACTGTAGCCATCACCTCCAATTCTATCCAAGGTGGTTTTGGAAGCAAGACTTAAAATTGGTTTGCTGCTCTTCAAAACTGGAATTATACTATGTGTGTCAGCATGGCTCTGAATGTCAGCCAAGCTCAGTCTCGCCTCTGAATCAGAAGTTTGAAGGTTATATGGAACCCATATATTCTAAGATGATGGTCAAGTGCAGTACCAGGGGTGTGCTGCATTGTTGGAGGTGCCATCCTTTGAATGAGGCATTAAACTAAGGTCCTGTCTGACTGGTGGATGTTAAAGATCCCAGGGCATTATTTGAAAAGAGAAGGGAGTTTTTCACAGTGTCCTGATCAACAAATAAAATTGGGCATTCAACTCATGCCTGTCTGTGGGATACTGCCTACCATGATCCCACAAACTAGACACAATCACACCATTAATCCGTTTAGATGCAGATGCCAAAAACATATTGTGATCACTGTAGTATCAGTAAGGAAAAGCCGTTTTGGATTATAGTAATCCTTGCATTGCACATGCATTTGGAATAGCACCTTATCTTCACAGGAAATACTGTAAAGAAGCATGCCTGTGTGTACTTTGTGGCCGAATGTGGCTGCCAATTTGTGCACAGCAATGTCGCTTACAAATAGGACTGTATTCTATAAGCAAATACACATGACGTCAGTAAACATACTGGCACAATTCAAAACCTGAAATATCTTCCTGTGGCACACACGCTTTTAATAAACAAAATTCAGCTTTTAGGCACCAATGTTGGGACTTCTTTGGTACAACTCCAAAAGGGAAAGGAATAAGTGGCTAAACTGATGATATTTATATTTAAGTGTTGTGTCTGAGGAAAATAAATTGTTTCCCCCAAATCCCTGACCTTTCTCCTGTGGACAGGAGTCAGGTAAGCCTTTCACATGGGTCTGTGAGGGAACAAGACAGCTAATCCCAAATATCAGTATGGATAAAGGGAGCATGAAACTTAAGAGACGGACATCAGAAGTGGTACGTTCGGGGATCAGTAAATGTCTTCTCTTTGACAAGAAAAAACAGAGCCTGTGACACCTATGCTTAAAAGGAGCCACTTCTACAGTCAAAATCCATCAACGCAATGTTCATTATTGTACTTTGGTGGGGTTACTTTTTTGAAGGTGAGTGCTTGGACGCGATTAATTAAATCCAAGGCACAAAATAATTTATGCAGTCCAGTAAGAGTGACGGAGATGCCGTTCTTATGAGACGTTAACCCCATCTGCCTGCTCAGGAGGACATTAAAAATCCCTTGGCACGATTCAATAAGAGAAGGATTTTCTCCCAGTGTCCCAAACAACAATTTCTCAGATAAAATTGGCCATTTTCTTTATTGTTGTTTTGTGGGACTTTGCTATGCGCAAATTAGCTGCCACATTCACTTACAAAATAGTGTAATTACATTTTACAGTAAATCTCGTGAAGTGCTTTGAGATATATCAACAATATGATAAAGAGCTACAACAGCAAGTTACATTTTTAATAGCTCCCTCACCAGGGAAGCATCTCAGAGAGCTGCTTTGAGCTGTGTTAGATTGTATTATTATTTACTGAGTGTTTTCCTATGGATGGTGTGGAGATCAGATGATGAGAACATCTAATTGTTGGCACATCTCAAATACCACAGACATGCTGAAGGGTGCCCTGGTTTAGGACACGTACCTGCGTCTTCACAACCTTTCACTATGCTGAAAAGCTGAGGGGACCGCTCTGCCAGGAGTTGCTGCTGAATGTTCACACACCGCAATGTCCACCAAGGCAACATCTGCAAAAGAACAGATCATTCTTAAAGGAACACGCTTCAGATCTACAAACAACACAAATTGACATTTATACAGTATAGCGCCTCTCACTTCGGGAGCATGTCCCGAAGCGCTTAACAATCCTGATTTGGAACCAATGTAGATCTCTGCTAAGGACAGATTGCACTTGGCTGTCGATGACCCCCACAGCTGAATAACTCCTGGTCCAGGCTCACGCCTGAGGAGAAGCCAGCCCACATTCCCAGATTTCAGTTCTTGTAATTTCACCACAAGAGAGGAAAAGGGAAGGAAACAACAAACAAAAAGAAAAGGCTCAATTTTTCAGAAGGTAACATGAGATTCGTTGAACGTCATTGGAATCAGTCTCCAAGGGGGAACGGCATCAACCGTACAAACTATAATAGACTTTAACCAGCGAGTGAGCAGAGCAAGCCAGACACAGTAATTGTATATTTTACTGACCGCTGCACACAAATTCATGTCAGCAGCAATTCCTTTGAGCAAATGGAGATTTCACACAAATGTGTAAACGCTGAAAGAGTAGACTCAAGGGAAAGGGAGAAAGTGTATGCCTATAAAGTTTGTGAAAATAAAAAATGTTTATTATTTTTTCTCCAGCCAGAAGAACTCTTTATACCAACGTACGTAAATGTCTTAGTATGAACAGCAGCCTTCTCAGTCCCAGTGGAACAACAAAAAAAATCAACACCAACTAAATACTTCAACTAAAGAGTATCAATCAGATTACCAACTCTCTTTGCCTCTCCCCCTCGCATCCCCACCTCACACACATGGTATTGGTGCCCATTCAAGCGTTGCTTCTAATGTCAAATGACACTTATGACATCAAATGACAATAACATGAAATGTTCACAGGTTCAAAGTAAAAAGCCTTGCAAGCAACTGGTTCCCCGATGGTTGGGAACAGCAAAGCGACCTTCATAAAGGCTCATTAACTTTAGAAAGCCCTCGGCTTGATAACAAAAAAACTCACAGGTCAGAATGTTTATAAGTGCTTGAATTCTAAGTAATTCCTGTCAAGATTAGGGACTGTTTTTGGAGACACTTTTTTTCCCACTGTACTAAATATATTATTATTATATATTATACTAGCTGTACCCGTTGCAGCTTTGCTTGCAACTAAAGGATACAACATGAAATGTAGATTGATTAATGCACAGACAGACACACAGACAGACATTTCATCTTTATATTCATCTGAGAGGACTCCTGTGGGAGGACTCAGTGGGAGGACCCGGGGCTTTAAAAATGTAGTTTTGTTGTTGATGCTGCATCTTAGCTTCCTCCGTGCTCTTTATTTTGTTCCCACTGCCATTTGGCTTTATTTTGTTCCCACTGCCATTCACGGCCTTGCTCCCTCCTACCTCTCCAACCTACTATCCCCCTACCTACCTGTCCGTACCCTCCGTTCCTCCGGCTCCGGTCTGCTCCACGTCCCCCGCCCCAACCGCCCTACCATCGGTGGTCGGGCCTTCAGCCTCTCAGCCCCGAGGCTCTGGAACTCCATCCCCCAGTGCCTTCGCCGCCTCCTCCCTTTCCTCCTTCAAGGCCGGTCTCAAAACCTTTCTCTTTGACCGAGCCTTCACCTCCCCTCTCGACTCTCTTCCCCCTCCTCGCTCCCTCCCTTCCCTCCCCTCACCCTGACCATTTCCCCCCTGCTCGGGTCATGACCCAACTGTGCAGCGCCTTGGGACGTCCTCCTGACGTGAAAGGCGCTTTATAAATGGAATCTTGTTGTTGTTGTTGTTGTGTGTGCTCTGACCCAGGATGCCACAGTGCCATGGTCAGTTGGCGCGGCTGCCAGGTGTAACTGTAGTGTGTGCATACATACGTACGTGCTCTGTGACGCACAATGCCACAGCACTACTTTGACTCAGCGGCCACCAGGTGTAACTGCAGCGAAAAGCCAAAACTGAAAATAACTCACGAATGATAGGAGATATCCAAAAACAAATATGCCTTTGTCACTCCCAGACGCAAGACCTTTCCAATGAGGTATAAATCATGTCTCTATGTCAATTGGTTATTGAGATCCTTCTTAAAGCACAGACAGACATTGTTGTTTTATTAGTATAATAATAGATAGAAGATAAACATTTTTTTTATTTTTTTTAAAAATTGACATCTTGATTTTCAATCAGATACTGAACCTTTTATGCCCTGATGGTTACAACCAAGCAGCCTTAGCATCCCTATTATTATTAGGATATCCCAAGTGGAGTTCACTTTCCTCAATCAGTGTTCAAGTGGGACGTTCAGGTAACCAATTCTGTGTAGCGAAGGGCAAAGATTGCCAGTTCTCAAGAGTCAGTAGCTCATTGCCAGTGGCTGGACCGTCATTGGACGAGCACCACCACACTTTGGGTCATCCACAGTGCAAAAGATCAGAGAGGACTTAATTGGGGTTCAAAAATTATAAAGGGGATTGATAAGGTTAGCATAGTTAGGCTGCTGTTATCGTTCCCACTTGTTGAGAATCTGCAACTGGGGCGAATGGTGTAAGATAGTGACTGGGGGATGTAATTAAGAGGAACTACTCCACACAGAGGGTATTGAGAATGTGGACCTCAATGCCTAAGCAATGGCTGCATCAGATCGTATAGATGCATTTAAGAGGAAGCTAGATATACACATGAACACATGTGCCTCATTACGTTGCCAATACCACTCAAAGCACTTAATAGGATTTATTGTGTAGTGGAGTGACTGTGTATTTGTAGGCAAACACAGCAACCAATTTGCACACTGCAATGTCCACAAACAGCCATTTTCTCTATTTTTTTTACCTGAGAGATTATTGGCCAGAACACTAGGAAAATTCGCTTCTCTTTTCAAGAGAAGGGATCTTTAAGGTCCACCTAAACAGGCAGATAAGACCTTGGTTTAATGTTTCATTTGAGGGACAACACCTCTGACAATGCAACATTCCCCAAGCAGTCCATTAGAGTGTTAGGCCTGACAATGAGATCAAAGTCCCAACGTGGGGTTTGAACCCCACAACCTTTTGACTCAGAGTCAAGAGTGCTACCAACTGAGCCAAACTGACTACATAAACTGCGGTTTCTCCACTTCCCCCCATTTCAGGACTGGTCCCGATACAAGTGGAGCCAAAGATGTTTCCAGCCAATATTCAAACATAACTGAGAGTGTAAGAATGTTTTTTTTTTAAATCAGCCCTTTCTGCAATTATTCTTATATTCCAAAAAAAAAGGCCTTTTTGTTCCTCCTCTGGCCACCTGCCAGTCTCGCCAAGTGGAATATTACATTGCTAAAGCATAAGAGTTAATGGCTTTTATTTATGAAAATATATTAAATCTAATACATTATATAGATCTAATTCCACATTCCGGGTTTTATGCCAACTCTCCCATTCCTGATGGAAGTTTTGGAGCAAAGAATGCGGCTCCAGACTTCCATCGGTCTGAAAAATCTGAAAAACAGGAATAGTATTGAAATGGAAAATTCAATTCAATTTAAAAAATAAGCACATCTCTGGCAGAGCTAACCAATGCTGTGTTTTGGTGGCAGCGGTTTCTGTAAACGTAGCTACAAAGTCAGCCAACGTGTGCAGTCCCATCAGCTGAAACAAGCGTGCCCCCTGATGGTCAACACAGGCTGAGCAACACAAGTTATAGTAAAGGAGAACATCGCCCATTTAGAGCCAAATGAAACCGTCAAAGACAGCAGTAAACATTGCTTGGGCATCTACAGACACTCAGGAGCGAGCGTATACATGATACTAATCTACTCTACTGGTGTCCTGGCCAACAATTCCTCAAATAAATTGGTCACTTCAATTCACGACTGTTTGTGGGGCACTGCTGTACGCAATTGGCTGCCGCGTTTTGCCCACTATTATACAGTCAATTCACTTTACAATATATTCTGTGACTCGCTTTGAGACATCTAGAAGACATGACAAGCACTATATCAAATGCAAGGATTATTTATTATTATTATTGCTGTTTGTGGGACACTGCAGTGCGTAATATGCTGCTGCATTCACCCACAAAGTAGTCACTGCACTTTACAGTATAACCTGTGAAGCCTTTTGAGACGTCTCCAAATGTAAGGAGTACTATCAATATTAATAATAGTCTAACCAAGGGGTTTGGATTAATTTCCTTGTGATCAGTTCCCAATAGGCAACTTGCTTTAAGCAAGTTACATAATACAATACAAAATTACATTTGTAAAGCGCCTTACACATCAGGAGGATGTCCCAGGACCCGAGCGGGGAAAGTGGGGGGCGTGGTTGGGATCAGGGAGGGTGGAGGGCAGAGAGGGTAGGAGGGTGGCCGGAGGCACGGTCGAAGAGGAGGGTCTTGAGGCATGCCTTGAAGGAGGCAAGGTTTACACAATCTATTACGGCAGCATAACACAGCACAGCGGTACGATGATCCTGCCTTGTTCCCCACCACCATCACCAAATTCCATCACAGCTATTCCATCAAAGAGGGATGTTGAATGTTCAAGTGAGTTCCCAGCAAAAATGGGGGGGTGTGGGAGAAACTGGATGGAATCTCAACTCAGGGCAGCTTCAAAGTGGGCCAGGCCGCCCACCTCACAAGCATAGATGGCAACCCAAGATAGGAGCAAAGAAGATTGTGGATCAATCACTTTCCAAGCTGCTGCAATATCCTTCTGGAAATTAGTTTCTGCTCAGTTCCCAGTGAATGTGAGTCCACATACAGTAGGGGTCTCCAAATGATCAATCCCACTAGATGTCCTCTCATGTACGCTCAATAAAGACAAGAGGAAGGAGCGATATTTACCGCAGTTTAAACAATAAAGTTTATATTTTTATTTTGAGATGCAGGAAATACTTTGTGCATCTGGGTTTGTTTTCTGATCATCCACGAGAGGGCCAGCTAGTGGCAATCGCCTATTTACAGACCCCTAACATACAGAATACTGGGGATAACTGGTATAATCTCTGATAAAGACAAAATGCAAAACCTGCATGGTATTTTCATAATACCACTTCATGGCTTGAAGTTTAATGGATCGGACTGTGCCACAATCTTAAGTGTTCATACCAAAGCCAATTTGACGGAGACTAAACCGGGAGGTGTTCCCATTCATCCCATCTGCTTAGGCTGCATTCAATCTCTCAAATCCTCACTCAAAAGGTCAAAACTTTAAACATTTTCCAACCAGTGAAATTAATCATAATCAAAAATACATTTTATAGAGAACCAAGAGACTGCAACACAGAAGGAAGCCCTTTAGTCCATCCTGCTATCTCTCTCAATGGAGACATGTTTTCCAATACAAGGTATAAAAATATCCATAGAATGATCACATTGGAAAAATAACTGCTCACATTGAAAAACCTTGCACTTCCACACAAATTGATATCCCAAGAAATGGGTCAAATATTTCAGTCATTGCTGCAAATCAGAGGCAATGACGTGAGCTCACAGCATTTTTGTGAAAAAGAATACAACAGACAGATGTTTGCCTACCTGGAAACAGTCCAGTTTACTCCTGCAGCTCACTAGGACAATCCTGGCTAACATCAGCAGGATGGGATTGGAGACAAGGGTGTAAATCGCTTCCCCATCTAAAGCAAGATTGTTCAACAGGGCGGCTCGCAATCTTTGTGGCTGAAACAAAGAGAATAGAAACATATTCATCATTTAATAGATTTGGAGCAAATTTCAATGTACTGGAAAATAGCAAGCAATGCTCCCCACCTTTAAAAAAGAGGCTGGGAATGGTTGAAAAGATGATGAGCAATAATATGAGCAACCATAATTCAGAAAAAAGGAGCTTCTCCCGGTGTCCTGGTCATTGGCCACTGCTACACAAAATAGGCTGCTGCATAAGGTTCAGGTGCCTGGGATTTCTATCCTATTCAACTGGATTGGTAAGTATTAAACAGCATCTGCCACTTTTCTACCACATGCTCAGCTTCTCCAGATTCCTCTGAATTTGTGACCATCGATTATCATCATTTGCCACTCATCCCAATTTAATCTAATCTGCAAACTGGCGGTACCTGGTGTAGAGCTGGGTTTGACCTGGTTTGGTCACTTGCTCAATGGCTGGTTGTGGGACACTGCTGTGTGCATATTGGCTGCCACGTTTGCCCACAAAATACAGTCACATTACTTTACATTACATACTAGGAAGCAGTTTGAGACGCTTTAACAACGTAATAATAATCTATGTCAAATGCATGGATTATCGTTACATATATAATAAAGTCGGTTGTTGTTGGGCTGCCATTACCAGGAAAACTTTAATTTATAATTGTTCATATTTGTAAAGATTTAGAGATCGATATCTGTAACAGGTGCAGATAATACCTACTTGGAACAAGTATCAAATAATGACAACTAATGCAGACAAATTAAGAGGAATCTGAAGAAGCTTGGCACGTGAATAGAAAGGTGGCCGATGCTATCCATGTTTAATATAAAGAAATGTAGTTCAGCAAACAAAGCAAGAAAAGGACCTTAGGCTTTGGATGGTTAATAAAATGATCAATCCAGTGTTTCTGGTATGTAAGAAAGAAAACAAAGTGTTGGGATACATAGCTAAGGGAGTAACATAAAGCAGAAAGTGGTAATTCATAAAATTGTACCTTGCTTTGCTGGGATCACATCTAGAGGATTTGCATACGGTTTTGGTCTCCCTATTCTTTTTTTAAAAAATGTTTTCTTCCTCCCTGAAATGATTACCTGCACTATAATCGAGGGAAAGCCACAAGCCCACCAAACACATTTTATTCATTTAATTCCAGCCTTTGAAGGAAACCTAATCCTGCAAGGCTTTTTTTTAAAAAAGTACTAAATTCCATTTATTATTAAAGTATAAATGTTTGGAACTTTACCAAAATGCAATTGCGGTGTAGTCTGAACAACGTACAGTGCAGTCTAATAAGTTATAATACTTAGAATAACGTTCATAATTCTTGCATTTGATATTGTGCCTTTCACATTGGGAGAGCAACTCAAATGCTTCACAGGATTTTAGAGGAAATCATAGTGACTGTGTATTTTGTAGGCGATTGCAGCACCCAATTTGCCCACAGCAATGGTTCCACACGCAGACATGAAGTGAACGACAAATTTTCTGAGGGACTGTTGGCCAGGACACCAATTGAGCCAATTTGACACCTGGGTCAATAGGTACTCTCTTTGTTGGGAAATGGAACACTTTGCCACTTGCTCACCCAGTATCACACCAAGCCGTTCCTTCTTCTCCGCATTTCAGCAAGAAAGATTTTTTTTTAACATGACAGAAAAAAAGCAACCCAATTATGCAGTGGATTGTTGTCCATGTATCTCCTATTCTTACTTCTTATACTTATCAAGGGAAGCAGGTTTGTGTGACTAAGCCTTAGGATCAGCAGCAAAACATCAAGCTTAATATTTTTAGGAACTCCGTTAATACTAAAGGACAGTAAATTTTTTCCTTCTCTCCAAAAATAAAAGGAGTGAGACATGAGCCAGACATCGTTACGAGAGAATGCTTAACAGATGCTTAAGCTGTGACTTTATCAATGCTCATCTAAACACACAATAAAGAACAATCAACATGAAATCTGCAGCAATAAATCATGCCTCAATAATCATTTTAAACTATGTGAAGTTATTAAACTATTGGATGAGGGGAATCTTGCGGTTATAATTCATTTTAGTTCTCAGAAGGCATCTGTTTCGTGCGCAAGCGTCTTAAAGGTTAAACCTTATGGAATTAATGCCAAACTAGCTAGTTAAAAATTGGCTGAGCAATAGGAAGCAGAAGGTGAAGATAAATGGAAAAACCTGGAGTTCCATAGGGATCTGTTCACATTATTCAGAAATGACTTGGAGACCATTTCTCACAATATAAAATGCGCTGATGAAGCCAGCCACAAGGGCAGGTGAATAATAGGAGGATAAATGGTCTCCAAGATCCAGACTAATTAAGTAAACAGGCCAAGGAAGGGCAGATGGATGTTTATGCAGATAAATGCAAGGTAATGCAACTTTAAATGAGGAACAATAAATATAAGTGCAAAATAAAGAGGTATCCATTAGCGGAGGTGAAGGAGAAGGATTTGGGTGTAATTACTGAAGATTAATTGAAAGTTTCTAGTCAATGTGAAGCTATTGTCAACAAAACAAATCAAACATTAGATTACATCTCAACGTGCTGGACTGTAAATTAAAGTTATATAGAACATAGGCCCATATTTGGAATATTGTGTGCAGTTTTGCGTGCTTAACATCAGAAGGACATCAAAGCACTTGGGAAGCTTCAGAGAAGAGGGATAATGATTCTCTGTGTCTTAGAGCCCTAAATTAGGAGCTTGTACAGCTTAACATTTACTCATAAAACAAAATAGGGTAGTTTAAAAGGGGAAATGCCCCAAGTCATTAAAATGAAATACAAAAAAGGACGTAAGAAAACAATTTGTCTTAAGATCATGAGAGCAGAACAAGTGGGCTAAGGTTTCAAATTAACAAGCTTTAAGCAACGAGGAATTAGAGGAAAACGTTTTTCCCCACAAACATTAGCACATAATAATAATCCTTCCATTTGATATAGAACCTTATCAAGTCTTCTCGACGTCTGAAAGCGCTTCACAGAATATACTGTAAAGTGAACCTACTGTACATTTTGTGGGTGAAATGCTGTAGCCAATTGCACACAACAGTATCCCACAAAAAGTCGTGGATTAAGTGACCAAATATTTTTTTTTTAAAAAAGGGGATTATTACCTCCGGACAAGCGATCCATCAATCGAATAACAACCAGGTTCCTACTTACTGCTAAATAAATAGAGGTGTGTGGGGTAAGGAAACATTCCAATATTTCACCCTGTGCAGGAATTGAACCCAGGTCCTCGGTTTGCGAGGCGAGTGCTTAACCATTAAGATACAGGACTCCACGATATATGTGGAAGCCTCTGAACAAAAACCTTTCAGTATCTAATTGGCCACAATATTGGAAGGATTATAGGAATTTGGTGCAGACTTAACCCAATAAACACCCCAGAAGACACCACTGTCTTTGCTGCTGGGGCAGTGGAATGAGGAAGTCTCATTACAAGGCTTGAATAGGAGATGCGGGAATGATGAACACGCTGGAGCTTTTGCTGCTCCAAACAGAGCCTGAAAGGTTCAGAGCAGAAATCTGCCTTCAGGAAATACCATAATTTATAATGTGCACTTGTTTATAAATTAAATATGCTACATACTTTAGTATGAGGTAAAAGAACACACAGCACAAAAATCCTGAAAAATGTGAAGCCACAAACGCTAAATTCAACAGATGATGAAGTGTTTGGGTATACAGACTCCCAATTTAGTGCCATTTCCTACAGTAAAAATGTTCATAGAGTACGAGAAGCATGCTTTAAATTACACTATTTCAATTTATCTTACATAGGGTCTGGTATTTTATCCAGTATTTCCACTTTAAAAGACATACAAAGTCTGTGGAATTGCACATCAATATTCAGATGCCAACAAGAAAGCAAACCCACAGTATCCAATGGCAACAGGTTTGTCTGCACCTGAGTTTTAGTGAATGCTCTAAATCTTGGGGTGCTAACATTTTTGAAACATAAACTTTAAATGTAAAAGGTGAAAAATATATAGTGTCAACAGTGTATGTTTGAGACAGAGGGAGATGATCGGTGAGGTCTGTAAGAATACCAGCCAGACACAGAGCAAAAGAAAGTAAATGACTGAAGACCAACACACACGTGTAGTTACTTGCAAACAGCAAATTCTCCCAACCCAGAAGTGAACTGACCCCATGCAAGTCACTTGGTCACTGGACGTACATTTCCACTGAAATTGTGAGCAGAGATTGGCCTCTCAGTTCAGTCACTAACTGCTGTGAAATGGCACATTTTTACATCTCTCAGACATGAGGGTCTGACCTGCACATGAGCCAAGAACCTGCACGGGAGCAATGTGCGCATGAGTGTGGTGCATGCCAGGTTTCATGGTAAGAACCCAAGAAACGTATAGTAGGATTGCACATTACATCTTCTTACCTCGGCAAAATTTCCAATTGAAGGTAAAATATCCTCCGGTTGCATGTGAACAGGAGGGCCAGTCCAGTTACTCTGAACAAACAGCTGCAAACTGCCCACACCCAGCAGAAACACCAGTACTTGTCTGCAATATGAGAGAGAGAAGTCAGCTAAGCAGAAGGATGATAATTTTGTGCTTCACCAACACAAAAACAATTGTGAACAAATACCTAGCCTCCAGGTAGCTCTCACCACTGCCCCACTGAGACCAGACAGAAACTCAGCGACAGGCCAGGGATGGAACATGAGTAAGACATCAGTCAGTGCATTTACTAAGCATTCACTGTAATGTGGGATTAAAGCAGCATAAGTAAGCACAGGTGAAATAAGCAACAGCCTGCATTTATATGCATTCATTTATCATGGAGCATGATATTTTGGGGGCATTTTACAAAGATGGTGTTGCACGCCAGACAGGTTTGGTCGAAAAGTAGGTTTTAAGGCAACGAGAAACAGGGCAAGATGGAGGGGTCCTTCAAACTCTACGCCCATCTTTGGCTGAGCCTGCAGGTTCAACCACAAATAGTAGGGAGAATCAGGTGGGAGCGTGAAAGGCTCAGAGCCTGGTGAGGATACAGGCTGCGCGCTGCAGAGTACTGCATGGTTTTGGGAGGAGCTGGAAGAGATAATGAAGGATTAGCGGCAGCCCGGTAGGTAGTGGCCGAGATAGACAATGTTGCTGAGGTAATGAAAAGCAGAGCGAGCGAGAGCCTTGATGTACAGTTTGAAGGCCAGTGAGCATTGAACAGGATACCAAGATTCTGAACCACATCCGTAAGGTGCAGGGAGCACCCTTCGCAGGTCATTGCGGTCAGTGCCTGAGGTGGGCCGTTCAGCGGGCTCCGGCCTACTCCGTGTCTCCCGCCCAACCCGCCCTACCATCGGTGGTTGGGCTTTCAGCCTCTCTGCCCCCATACTCTGAAACTCAATCCCACAGTCCCTTCGCCTCAGTCCCTCCTGTGCCTCCTTCAAGGCCGGTCGCACGACCCTCCTCTTCGATCGTGCCTTTGGTCGCCCTCCCACCTCTTCGCCTTCCCCCACCCCTACCCCATCCCTCCCCCATGCTCGAGTCCCAACACCTGATTGTCCAGCGCCTTGGGACGTCCTCCCGACATGAAAGGCCCTCTATAAATGTAATTGTGTTGTTGTTGTGAGAAGGTGATGATGGGAGCCAACAACAACAAATTACATTTATATAGCACTTCCGTGTTGAAAGGACGTCCCAAAACAG